GTAACTTGACCTTTCTTTCTGGCTTCCCTTAGCATTTTTTCCTTCATTTCAACCTTGGTGAATCTGACGATTATGTGTCTTGGGGATTGCTCTACTTTGTGGTCTATCTTTGTGGTGTTCTCTGTACTTCCTGAATTTGAATGTTGTCCTACCTTGCTAGGTTGAGGAAGTTCTCCTGGATAATATCCCGAAGAGTGTTTTCCAACTTGGTTTCATTTCCTCCTTCATTTTCATGTACACCTATCAAATACAGATTTGGTCTTTTCAAGTAATTCCATATTTCTTGGAGGCTTTGCTTGTTCTTCTTCACTCTTTTTTCTCTAATCTTGTCTTCTCACTTTATTCATTGAGTTGATCTTCAATCTCTAATATCTTTTCTTCTACTTGATTAATTCAGCTATTGAAACTTGTGAATACTTCATGAAGCTCTCATGCTGTGTTTTTCAGCTCCATCAGGTCATTTATGTTCTTCTCTAAACTGGTTATTCTACTTAGCATTTCATCTAACCTTTTTCAAGTTTCTTAGCTTCCTTGCAATGGGTTAGAACATGCTCATTTAGCTTGGAGAAGTTTGCTATTATCCATCTCTGAAGCCTGCTTCTGCCAGTCTGTCAAACTCATTCTCCATCCAGTTTTGTTCCCTTGCTGGCGAGGAGCTGTGATGCCTTAAAACAGAAGAGACATTCTGGTTTTTGGAGTTTTCAGCCTTTTTATGCTCATTTCTTCCCATCTTTGTGGATTTATCTACCTTTGGTCTTTGAGGTCACTGACCTTTGGATGGGGTCTCTGAGTGGATGTCCTTTTTGTTGATGTTGAAACTATTTCTTTCTGTTTACAATTTTCCATTTAACAGTCTGGTCCCTTTGCTGCAAGTCTTCTGGAGCTTACTGGAGGTCCACTCCAGAACCTGCTTGCCTGGGAATCACCAGTGGAGACTGCAGAACAGCAAAGATTGCTGCCTATTCCTTCCTCTGGTAGCTTTGTCCCAGGGAGGTATCTACCAGATGCCAGCCAGAGCGCTCCTGTATGAGGTGTCTGTTGGTCCCTACTGGGAGGTATCTCCCAGTCAGGATACAGAGGGTCTGGAAGCCACTTGAGAAGGCAATCTGTCCCTTATCAGAGCTCAAACACTGTGTTGGGAAATCTGCTGTTTTCTTCAGAGCTGCCAGCAGGGACATTTAGATCTGCTGAAGCTGTACCCACTACTGCCCCTTTTCCCAGGTGCTCTGTCCCAGGAAGTTGGGGACTTTATTTATAAGTCTGCACTGGGCTGCTGACTTTTTTCAGAGATGCCCTGCCCAGTGAGGACATCTAGTGAGACAGACTGCCTGTAGCTGCTGAGCTCTGTTGGGCTCTGCCCATTTCAAACATCCAGGCAGCTTTGCTTACACTGTGCAGTTGAAATTGCCTACTTGAGCCTCAGCAATGGTGGACACTCCTCCCCCCACCAAGCTTGAATGTCCCAGGTTAAGCTCAGATGGCTGTGCTGACTGTGAGAATTTCAAACCAAAGGATCTTAGCTTACTGGTCTCTGTGGGGGTAGGACCCACCAAGCCAGACCACTTGGCTCCCTGGCTTCAGTCCCCTTTCCAGAGGAGTGAATGGCTCTGTCTCACTGGTGTTCCAGGCACCACCAGGATATGAAAGAAAAACTGCTGTGGCTAGCTCAGTTTCTGCCCAAATGGCCACCCAGTTTTGTGCTGGAAACACAGGGCCTGTAGGCCAGAGGGAATCTCCTGGTGTGAGGGTTATGAAGGCCATAGGAAAAGCAGTATATCTGAGCTGGAGTGCAGGGAACTTCTTCTCTTGGCTAAAGAAGTTTCCCAGTCCTTTGCACTTCTTGGGTGAGGCAATGCCCCACCCTGCTTTGCTTGCCTTCCTTGGGCTGCACCAACTGTCTAACCCAATGAGATGAACCAGGTACCTCAGTTGGAAATGTGGAAATCACCTGCTTTCTGCATGGATCTCACTGGGAGCTGCTCACTGGAGCTGTTTCTACTCGGCCATCTTGCTTGAGGACCTGGTGTTTTCTTTTTTTCTTTTATTTTTAGTTTTTGAGATGGAGTTTTGTTCTTGTTACCCAGGCTGGAGTGCAATGGCACAATCTAGGCTCACAGCAACCTCCGCCTCCTGGGTTCAGGCAATTCTCCTGCCTCAGTCTCCTGAGTAGCTGGGATTACAGGCACACACCACCATGCCCAGCTAATTTTTTGTATTTTTAGTAGAGATGGAGTTTCACCATGTTGACCAGGATGGTCTTGATCTCTTGACCTCGTGATCCACCTGCCTTGGCCTCCCAAAGTGCTAGGATTACAGGCGTGAGCCACCACAACCAGCCCTGGTGTTTTCTTAACATTAGTTTCAGGTTATGCACTTTTGACAGTAATAACCAAGAAATTACATGTGTCTTAAATATGCATGAATTCAGAAGGAAAATGATATCATTTATCCTATTCATGCAGATATTAACTTTGATCATTGGTTAAGATGATTTCTCTAGGTTTCTCTCCTGTCAACATGTCATTTTTCATTTGTAATAAATATTATTATTTTTCACTTTTTAATTTACTTTTATTTTATTTTTGAGACAGGATATCTCTCTGTCACCCAGGCTGGAGTGCAGTGGTGTAATCTCAGCTCACTGCAGCCTCAACTTAGGGCTCAAGTGATCCTTCTATTTCAGCTTCCTGAGTAGCTGAGAATACAGACATGCACCACCATGCCCAGCTAATTTTTTTTTTGAGAGGGGGGGTCTTACTATGTTGTCCAGGATGTCATGGAACTCCTGGGCTCAAGTAATCGTTCCACCTTGGCTTCCCAAAGCATTAGTATTACAGGTGTGCACCACTATGCCCAGCCTAAATATGTATTTTTACAAAATAAAACTTTTGGGTGTAGATAAGTATCTTAGTCCCATTAATGTTTCACCCACTTTTTAAAATTATCTATTTTTAATTCTTCCCTTATACAATTAATACTGTGATGTTTACCAAATTGTGACTTTCCTAATTTTATCATTCCTCTCTCATTTATTAGGTGCCCTTTTATGTCACGGAAGAGATTTTACTTCTTCCACATTTACATATTTGTTTATTTATTTATATCATTTTGTATATACTTATGGAGTCCATATTACAAATTTTCTAACCCTCAGGAGCCTTACTCCTCCTCTGTAAAAAAAAAAAAATTACCATCTAGATTTGCTGTGCAGATTAAATAAGCTAATATATGTAAGGTCTTCCAAATCATTAGAATAAAATAAATTGGAGCTATTTATATTAGTCATGATAATAATAACAATACTTATCTGACTTATAGTAGGCTGAGAACAGTTCAGGGTCATCTCCTTTCAGTACTTTATGAACTTTGACAGCCCATTTAATCTCTCTTTCTCTCATTTTTCTCACCTATGAAACAGAAGAGTTGAGTTACATGATCTCTAAATTCAACTACAATTCTAATTTAAAAACTAATATTCAGTACCTTTAAAACACGTGTGCATAAATTCATTTATTCCAACAACCTGTCAAATGTTCTGTATTTGCAGTATGAATATCTTTCATAACTCTTAGTGTTCTTCTACAACTTCAAAGGACATATAGAAATTTATCTCTGAACAGTTTGAGTGTTCCATTTAATCATATTTTACATTTTAATAATTTTAGTTGGTCACAGCTATTTTCCAACTAAGCTGATGACTTTGACAAAATGTGAAATAGCTAAAGACAGATGGCTTGCAGCTCCAACTGTTGGGGTTTATTTTCCAATGCCAGCAAGGTCGCTGATCCTTCAACTGACTGTGGCCTTAGACCACATGATGGCTATGATTTGCATACTACAGAAAGAATAATTCAAATGTGTTAATTTCTTTCTAAAACATATGAGTCACATCATAAAATGTGACCAGTATATCTTGGAAGTTTATTATAGGTAGCCTTGAGTATGTCTTTGCACATTGTTGAAATGAAGAGTATATTAATAGACAGCTAGCAAATGAATTAATCTCAGTTTGAAACACTTCCCAAAGGAGAGAGTGCTGAGATAGCAGAAAGAATCCTGGACTTGAATTTTGATTTCCTAGGCTTAAATCTTAGTTCTTACTAGTCTTATAAATTGGGGCAGGTAAGTTTCCATTTCTTTTTATGTCAAACTGAAATAATGTGGTATGGTTTGAATTTGTGTCTCTGCCCAAATCTCATGTCAAATTGTAATTCCCGGGGGTGGAAGTGGGCCCCGGTGGTAAGTGATCGGATCATGGAGGTGTTTCTCGTGAATGGTTTGGCATCATCCCCATGGTGATGGTCTCATGATAGTGAGTGGATTATCATGAAATCTGGTTGTTTAGAAGTGTGTAGCACCTCACCCCTCGGTCTCTCTCTTGCTCCTGCTTCTGCCATGTAAGACATGCCTGCTCTTACTTCACTTTCTGCTGTGGTTGTTAGTTTCCTGAGCCCTCCCCAGAAGGTGAGCAGATGCCAGAATCATGCTTCCTGTACATCCTACAGAACTGTGAGCCAATGAAACTTCTTTTCTTTATGAATTATCCATCTCAAGCACTTCTTTATAGAAATGTGAGGATGGACTAATACCACATGATACATCTCATAGAGATGTTGTGAGAAGCAAATAAGTTCATTTTATTGACAGCATGTAGCATATAAAAGTTGCCTAAATGGTTTTAAATAAATATGGGAAGAACAAAACTAGGATAAATTAGGTCCAGGATGTGTAGAATAGCCATCTTTTCTTTAGAATTTTTTCAAAACTGAACTTAGAATTAAATTTAGAAAGTAAAGAAGTACTATCTTCCAGTTTGAGCATCTGAAGACTCAAGACAAGAACTGCTTTATGACACACATAATCCAAGTCCAGCAGCAAGGTTGGGTGTGTCATAATCACCTAAATGGTAGTCAGAGTCATAAGTCTTGGGCCTCACATTGAAAATTATGCTTGAATAAATCTATAGAAAAGTCCAAGTATCTGTATTTTTAAGCACTTACCTGATAAATTTGGTGTTTCATAATCACTGTTCTAGGAGACTTAAGAACAGGACAGGCACAGTGGCTCACACCTGTAATCCCAGCACTTTGGAATGCTAAGGCAGGTGGATCATTTGAGGTCAGGAGTTCGAGACCAGCCTGGCCAACATGGTGAAACCCCATCTCTACTGAAAAAAAAATCTAGGAGTGGTGGTGCAGGCCTATAGTCCCAGCTACTCAGGAGGCTGAGGCAGGAGAATCCTTTGAACCAGCCTCAGGAGGCAGAGGCTGCAGTGAGCCAAGATTGCACCACTGCACTCCAACCTGGGTAACAGAGTGAGACCCATCTCACAAAAAAAAAGTAAAGAAAAGAAAAAATAAATAAAGAGCATATCAAGTAAGTCACTAGATCAGCAAGAGGCACCAAGGTTGGGAGCACATGATCAGCTACCAGGAGCACTCCATTGGTGCTGACTAATTGTCCTTAATACTTATAAGTATTTAGGTGAGTTGCTTCGCATGTCAGGTGCAGGATCTGGAATCAAATTCCCTGGGTTTATAACAGTGCTTTACCATTTTCTAGCTATGTAATCTTGGATAGCTAGTTAACATCTTTGTGTGTTTTCTCATCTCTAAAATGAATACTGTTATAAGATTTAAATGAAATAATTTGTAGCATCTAATAAAATTCAGGCACAGACTGACAAACAAATGGATGCTAATTGTTTAACTATCCTGAAGTCATCAGACATTTTGAACAACTATGCCTTTATATATCCCATTTCCCACATTTGAAAGCCTTTCCCACACTTTTCTGCTTAGTAGGCTCTTCCCCAGCCTTCAAGATTCTATGTGGGAATGTCCTTCTCTGCTCTCTGTGTGTCCATCTCTGCCCAGTTAAATCCTCCCATGAAGCAAATCTTCTTCCTATGAGAAAAAATTCTGATCAATTGCCTGCCAAGTACTAATTAATTACCACCTTTCCTCCATCACAGAGTATGCATGCTATCTGAATTGACGTTAGATATATAGGTCTTCCTTGTCATAGTGTTTACTTTCTTTGGGTGAGCTCGTGTTTTCTCACATCTTTAATTGTACATGTTGATGATGCCAAGACCTATTTCTCAAACTCATACTATTCTCCTAAGCCTAAGACCCATATAGCTATCAATCTTCTGAAATTGGCCTTCTGTATGTCTTGTAAACACTCCGAATTCAACATTAATAAGATTAAATTACCTTTCAACTACATTTTTTTCCTATCTTCTTCTTTGTGCTGCTTTGGAAAAAACTTTGGCGGGTCCTCAAAATGTTATACATAGTAACCATATGACCCAGCAATTACACTTCTAGATATACGCCTAGAAGAAATAAAAGCATGTGACCACACAAATTCATAACATTGTTATTCAGAATAGTCAAAAGGTGGAAACAAACCAAATGTTCACCAATTAATGAATAGATGAACAAAATGTGGTGTATTCATACAACAAAATAATGCTCAGCCATAAAAAGAAATGATGTACTGGCACATGGTATAATGTGGATGAACCTTAAAAAAATCATGCTAAGTAAAAGAAGCCAGATGCAAGTTATATTATTCCACTTATGTTAAGTGGAATGCACTAATCCATAGAGTCAGAAATAGATTATTGGTTGCCAGGGGATGAAGAAAGGATAGCATGGAAAATGACTTCTAATAAGTATGAGATTTATTTTGAGGATAATCAAAATATTCTAAATAGATTCACAGCTCTGTGACTAAACTAAAAAACCTTTGAATTTTATAGTGTGTTTTATGACATATAAATTATATCTCAAATTTAAAAAAAGAACAATTTCCTATGATGTCAATGTATGACATAATTACTCCATCATTATCACATCCATTAATACTTAAAATTTTGGCAGCATTTTGGCTTCTTGTCTTCCCAACATGTAAAAGCATTGCCAAATACTTAGAATTCTCTCTTCAAGTTGTCTCCTGATCCATTACCTCCAAAAAAGGGATCATCTTAAATGTAAGTATAGGGAGAAGAAACTAATATTCCTCTGCACTTATAGGAAGCTTTACCCTTCATTTATCAGCATCAAGACATCCCTATAATAATGAGAGGACAAAATAATTGATTTTCCTAAAGGTATATAACTAAGCTGGTTTGATACACAAGACCTTCGGTTCTAAGTCTAACATTGATTTCACTGCACCCCATTATGCAATGCTATGTGGACACATGTGTAATCACTAAAAGTATCTGCAGCAGGGAGGACAACCCACTTCATCTAATCCTAAAGGAAGAAAGACAAAGATCAGATAAATATGGGCAACCTCACACTCAGCGCTGCTAAGAAGAGAGAACAATCATCACTTGAAGATCCTTGGCTTCCCCCAGCTGGAGAAGTAGGTATTGTTCAAAGACCAGTCAGTTGATAAAGAGCATCCCAGGTTTCCTAATCATCACCTAGTAATCACATTTTCTGAATTTAGATGTTTGTTACACAAAATTATTTTTACATAAATTAATCATCAAAACTCTAGATCAAAGCTGCTCCATCTGGAGCTATTTTGTCCCCCAGGGGACATTTGTTAAGGTCTGGAGATATTTTTGTCACAACTGGGTAGGGGTTTTTGAGGGAAGAAGTGCTACTGGCAGATAGTCAGCAGAAGCCAAAGATACTGCTAAACATCCTACAATGCACACAACACCTCCCCAAAGAATTTTCTAGTCCAAAATGTCAACTGTGCTGAGGTTCAGAATCACTGTGCTCAGGTTCAGACTCTAAATGCATTTTGAATTTCTAACAATTGCAAGATGTATTTCCAACTTGCAGACCTCTCTTTGATTGTAGAGGACTTCCACCAAAATAATCTGTAACCCCAAGAGCCTCAGGCTTTACTCAAAATAAAGTTATTGTGGATTCAATTTAGTTGACTTTAAACTGTAATGTTAACCTACTGTGCTGAAAACACAAGGCTATGAACTATTGGGCTATATGCAAATAGTTATAATATGTTCCATACCCTTTAGAATCTTATAATTTATTAAATGTGGCAAGTTCCTAGAGAATAGGGGCTATATATTCTTAGTACCTACATAATAGGTATTTTACAAATATTTATTAAATGAATAAGAAAAGCCTTTCTGTAATTTTTCAAAATCTTCACCATTTGCATTGATGTCAATGCCCAGCTGCACCATGTCATTTTTGTCAGAGGGCTTTGCCTTTTACTTGATAAAGAGAAATGGAGGTTATCAGTATGAACCAACTGTGGCCTCTGCATCCCCTCATTTATTTCTGGACCCATAGTTTCCTCCTTTCAAGTCTGAGAAAATTAGGTGTCTCTCACACTATGCAAGTCCAACCCTTTTATTGTTTTCACATCCCACTCCCTTAACTCTACTATCTTCTAGACCTGACTCAATTAGTAATCAATAGTATCTACTTTTTGTGAAGTACATGATTCAGCAATCAAAATATGGTACATGTTCAATGACCATAGCTCTTATATTCCTTCTCCAGTCCAGATTTCTCCATTCCAGAAACATGATCTCCTTTTAATCTCATATCCACCTGTATTGTTTTTCTTCTCTTTAAAGCCTTGCTTCTTTCTGCCCCTATTTCCTTATTTCTCATTCATTTTACATTCTGAAATCTTATTCAGCCTCTCCCATTCACCGAAACTACTCTTGAAGAGGCCATTTGCTGATGATCTTCATGTTGCAAAATTCTAAGTTCCAGTGATTCTTAGCTGATTCTTCAACTCCTGAAACATGTACCCTTTCCTATAAAAATGACCATAAACACCCACACAAAATAATTTTTCATAATATTTTCAAAGGATTCAATGAAACAACTATTGATCTAGTTATAAAGCACTGTAGTTGACGGAATTTAGTCCTCGCTGGAAAAGTCTGTTGCATTTAGCATTGTTTTATCTCCAATGGATGCCTGAGACCAGGGATAAGGAAACATTCTACAAGTACTTCTTAAGCAACTATTCCATGCCAGATGTAGTGCAGTATAGTAAAAGAACAGAGATAATAAAACAAGATCCCCATCTCAAAGGAACTCACAGTATGTATGTATTTTTGTGAGGAAGGAAATTTCAAACCCGAATGCCTGGGAATGTGGTGATACCATTCACTGAAAAAGAGAACCAAGGGAAAGAAGTGACTTAATAATTCAAGTGCTGAGTTTAGCCTTGGACATATTATGATTGAGGAATAAATAAGATAACCAATATTTAGAAATGGGTGAGAGCAAGGGTGGTGAGAGAGGAAGGGTAGTGGTTGGTGCCTTCTGGTACTCATAAGGAAGATTTGACCAGATGAGGTGAACCTAGTCAAGGCTGAAATTATATAAGATTCCAGAGTTCTTATTCTTTAGATAGCCCCTCAGAGAGAAATAAAAAAATGCAGTATCTCTCAGCAAGAAATTCAAATATAAGCAGATTGTGAACAAAGCCATGGTCACTGGGGTTAGATGTATGTGATGTATCTAAACCTAAATCCAATTAATGCAATGTCTGAGACCTTGAACAGATATATAATCTTATTTAAGTGCTAATATCCTCATGTGCAAAAACAGAATAATAATACCTAGCATATCATGTTGAGAATATTTAGTCAAATAATGCATATAGAGGACTTATTATAATATATAGCACATAGTAAAGAGTACTTAAATTATAATAATATTATTTTTACTATTAAAATTTGATTTAATTAAATGTCCATTTATAACTTCTTAAGGACCAGGAAGCCAAATATGCAAAATTCTCCAAAGATCAATAATTTTCTGATTGTTAAAACCTCATGTTCAGGAAAAAGAGCCAAAAAAATTATATTTAATAAACTATAATTTCCTGGCATCAATTCCTTGAATGTTCTGTACTTTCAGTTATATATAGGATGATGATATTTCATGTCCATATTTATCAGCCTAATGCTATAAGAGTTTCTCAGTTTTCTTTTTTAAGAAAAATGGTCAAAATTGATAAAGTGAGTCATTCATTTATTCATTCAACAAACACTCATTGAATGCACTCTACATGCCAGGCATTTTGACAGGTGTTGGGGATACAGAACAGAAAAGACTATGCTCTTACAGAGCTCACATCCTAGTAAGGTTATAAATGTTGTCATTTTACTAATATGTAATTAGCTTTAATAAACATCATGGATTAAAAAAAGTAGAGAATTATGAAATAATTCAGTGAAGAATCTGATCCCTTGGGAGGTTCAAAGAAAGTTTGCCTGCAGAAGTGATATTTGAGCTACAATATGAAGATTTAGCTGGGCAAAAGGCACGAGGGAAAGAGCTTTTCAGGTAGGAGAACAGAATA